AACATCAATTAATCATGCAATTAAGTGTTTATAACCAATAGATTTAACTAATAGACTAAATTATATAATAACATCTTAGAATGTAACTACATGTCACAACCGATTTCAAAAGATAAAGAACAATTATATGTAATTTAGTGGTTGAATTCATGATTTAATTAAAGCTAAACCACCGTGGAGAACCTGAAAGCACTGAACGGTCGTTTCGTCCTAATATGGGACTCTTCATCAGTGCGCATCTAGGTTTTCCATGATGATCTAACTTTAATTGACTATTAAATTACTACAATCTCCACAAAACGCCTTTCTGACAATTTTATGTATTACTCACACTCCGATCAATTATACATTCTCTAACTGTTACATCCAAAGAAAATTAAATTATAAGTAACTATTTATAGACTGTTATTATATTTATGAATTCTTATTGTATAAGTGTATAAGTAACTAGACTATACATATTCCGTTTACCATTAGATCTTATTTGACCTATTGGCTACTATTATACGACTTACTACTCTTGAGATATTCCCAATTTATTAGTTAAAATCTCTCACAATCACAGCCACTTTTTGGCTTGATTTCGTATAATTGTTATTTTCTATTTTATGGCGTGATGAGGTTTGGTTTGGTTGTATATAAGCTAAGTATGTCTGAAATAAATGATTCATATAATGGAGACTGATATTGGTGTTCTGGACTGAATCGGCTGGATTAGGTGAGAAGCTACTTTCTCAGTGGACTAATAAGACTCAAAGTTGATTTTAGGCTGCATGTACTAGTTTATGCATCATTGGTCTAGTCAATAAATCAGTGTTCTAATTGACGAATTGGCCACATGATAACATGCTATAAAGGCATAACACTAATTACATCATTAGGATATTGTAGTATACTCTAAAAATTATGTTAAAATCTTGAAAACATGTCATGTGCTACTACTATTGAACTATAAAAACTTTCGATTTGTTCATTTGTTTGTTCATTTGTATCGTGGTTTTTTCAAACTTCATACTAATTATCTCTATTTACTATTTCCAATAGTTTGGTTTACTGAGTTGAATCTAATCATAGATTGAGATTTGATCTGATAGCCTCGCACTTTAAAATACTCCGATACCATAATATAAATCAAAAGTTCAAAAAGAATGTCATATACATACGAGATTCCACTATACCGTAGTTGTATTTAATGTAAAACAGTATTTTACAAAAGGTTTGATTTATCCTGTTGTTATTATTCTTGACCGAATTTTAATCCATTTTAATTAACATATGTGCATCCTGTGTTGATTGCCTTAATATTGTAATATAATGACTAACAATGAAATCTGAGAAGTGTATTTAGTTCTGTTCGGGATTTCACAGCTGTATGAATCTGGATCTTAGTTTTAATCTTCAGATCGAGACTTGAAATGAGTCATGTTCGATTTATATGCTTATTATGTTATACCCTGAGTTATTGAGTTCAACTTCAAACTTACTTGTGTAATGGGTGTGATATTTATAGGAAGGTTTAAGTTATTCAACTGTTGATCAGTCCCAAATAGGTTGAACCAAGCTTCATGTATTGGATTACCACAGTCTATCTACTTATATTTCATGAAAACAAAGCATTATATTCAAAGCATATTACAGTGGCGTTATTACAAATGTTACATTTTAAATTTACTACGAAGATAGTAAAGTGAAAATCGCAATCATGGAGGGGAGTTAAATCATATAGGTTTGGTTTTTTTAGTATATTTACATTTTGATAATATCACTGATAATGTGTATGAGTTTTAATTCTGTTTTGTATAACGAAGTAAAATCAGCTGTAAACAATTATCCTGAATTGTGACATTTAAGCAGTGACAAATTATTGTCCATTAACTTGAGAAATGAGATGACCATTCACTTATGATATTAAAGAAATGGAGTTGAAAACTATGTAATTATGAAGCCTAAGTAATAGTTTTTAGCTAGATCTTGCTCTATTGCTCTTGCTTTGCCGATCCACGCTTTCACATCTGCATCAAACCTACCGTGTCCAACAATGATGCTGCCGAAATATGCAAAGGCATTTACATCTTCCAAATCTTCTCCGTCAAGTTTGATCCGATTGTTTCATGCTGTATTGTATCGAAGAATCTTGCTTTTCCCTTTGTGTATCTCGAGAACTACTGCTGCTGAGGCTGCTCCCACACTGGTCGTCTTCCCATGCATTTGTTGTTGCGTTCGCAACAAAAGAGTGAGATCATCTGCGAAGTCTATATCGTCCAACTTCATCCTAGCTGTCCACTGTATCCCATGCTTCCCCCCCAGATGTTGACACCTTCATGATCCAATCGATCACCAGGAGAAAGAGAAAGGGTGAGAGTAAGCAACCTTGCCTAACACCGGTCTTTACCTCAAACAAGTCTGTCAATTGTCCTCCATTAACAATTTTGCAGTTTAATCCATGATAGGAATTCCTTATGGTATTGATGATCTTCTCAGGCACTCCATAGTGTCGAAGAAGCCTCCATAGTGGTTTCCTGTCCACGCTATCAAATTCTTTCTCGTAGTCAATGAAGTTTATTTGCTAAAATCAACCGAAATACTGCAAAAAAAGTATTTTGAGTGTTTTAAACAAATAATAAGTAAACACGATAAATGATTTGTATTTTAACAGCAATAATTTCATTCAATATTTAGTTTTGTATTATTATAAAAACAACTATCTAAGGAGAAGTAGTTTTCTACATACACACTATACATTCTTTGATTGTCGATAACACTTTTAAAGTCTCTAATATCATGAAACGCTAGTGTTTTACATACATCACTCTTCACTCTACCTTGTTTCAATTTAGTTCCCAGTTAAACTTACATTTGATAAGTACTCATAAAGTTTCCATTTAATTCAAGCACTTGATCGTTTAAATTGAAAACAAATTAATTAAGTGATGATGATTGATGACGATAAAAAAAGTTTCCCAATAAACTAAAACGATAAGACTATAGCAATATTTTAGCCTACAGCTATCATTTGACCTTGGATAAGCAATGTGAACATAAATGTTTGTATGTATACGATTGTTATGACAAAAAACTGATGGTATGTTGCTCTGTAAAATGAAACATCATATTATTGATGAACTTATGTTTATCATAACCTAGTATCATAAAAAATAGGTCACTATTATTTCAGATGATAACACATGGTGGAAAGTAAAATTCTTAAGTATCTGATCATGATATATTGGCTAGTTTTAGTCGAATTTAGATCTTGGTTATATCACATACAGTCAAAACAGTCCCCAATGATCGGTGGGAGTTGACACGATGCTCTGATTGGTCTGGGCTTTGCCATAGTTCCCATTCATTAAAAAGGCATATCTACAGCGCCGAAGGAACTGTTGCATCCTTTAGAATTCTGAGGCATTACCAACGATCTGTTGATGCTCCGGCTTTTATGTTGTTTACAGTTGATTGACTGGTCGAATTCTGTCTACCAGATGGAATTCAAAACATTGTATTGTTAAGGAGTATCATCCTACTTACTGTGATGGCTTCCTTAGATTAACGGCACCCTAAACGAGAAAGTTGTACCACAAAGTAGTGTCATATAGCTATAAGATGACACCACAGAAATGAAGTTTTTGAACACCATGCATCACCATCCCATTTTCAATTTACCACTCAAACCTGTGCACATGCTTTTCACTAAACATTTTAGGCTACTTATTAGTAGTGTAATTTTCAAAGTAGTATTTAGTGAAGTGAAAATTTAAAAAACCTTTTAGTTCACTGGTATGTAGGCTTCATGTGATGAACCTATACATGACTTCAGTTTATAACTAGAGAGATCTAAGCCAAATCAGTTGGCTATCGCTAGTGAATATCTCCATGGATGGCGTTATCTAATGAGTTGTATCATGTGAATCAGAAAGTATACAGCAGACAACTATGATTATTTCGGTACCATGTATCGTAGATTATTTTCAAACCTTAATTTTTTCTTAAAGTTAACATTTAAAACAGATTTTTTCAATTCTTTCGGGTCACTACTTCAACAATATGGAGACTAAAATTCACACAGTACAGTTGGTTACAGCTTTGTTCTAATTTGACTTAGACGCGGTTAATTTTGAAGTAGTTTGATAACAGTTAATATTTTCCAAGAGTAATACAGATTTTAAAATGTTAACTGTGTACAGAAACATAAACATAATATCTTGTGTATTGTGTCAAATGAAGGTTGAAAAATAATCTTATCACCAGACAGCGATTCTTCTCATATGAGTACACTAAAATCTGACCACATTTCTGCAATAATCATTTCGTTTTCAGAGATAGTCAAGCAGATTTATTGTTTAAGTGTATGATTTTAAGGGAACTGCGTTCTCTGAGTTAAATGGTTTAGTCGTGAAGCCTTTTATACACTTAAATAACATTGTCGGTACAAACTTCTATTAGAGGGGAATCATGAAATTTTCTCTACAAGTGACTAGCAGCATGCTCTGTTGATTTGATTGGTTGTTTTTGATACTTGTCTTATTAGGACTGATTGGAAAGCAAGTCTATAATCTTTACTCCATTAAGGTTTACATTTTCCTAATTTAACACCTTATTTTTATTATATTATTTATGTACTGTCTCTTTAAGGTGAACTGAAGATTATATACATAGATTAGTTGTACAATGAAATAGCCTTTGGTGAGGCAGTAAAACTTCCCACAACAAGGACAAACCACCACTCCACTTACCACATAAGTATGTGTCAAAAGCTATTTAAATATTTCTTCCCGGATACTTTTCAATCACAAATGAGTCTTACTCTTCATAGAGTCAATCCTCAATATGTACCCCAATTAATCCGTAAACATATCATAAGATGAACAATATACAAGTGTAATCATAAAATACATTTAAATATTGAATACACATAACTTAGATCTAATCATTCTTCAACATTTAATAAGTTCTTGGAAAAATAAATGATTACAGTTCATGAACTGTTAGTTAAAAAATAATCATTTTCTAGCACTCTTCTTTTTACCTGTTCCTGCAGATCTCGCCTTCTTTGATTGTGGACGTGGATAAGCATCAACCAGCTTTTTAACAAAATCTTTGATACAAAACAAAAGAACTTCGTATATATATAATCTTTAAAATAACATAGAAAATGTTCATTTTATTGATTTAAACGTAACGAAAATATTATTCAATGTCCTATGCGCTACGCGGTTAACCTGCTCGAATATCTGAGCTACCTGTCCCTGATATCTGGATATTTAAACGAGGTATCTATTCCTTTGTGAAATGTTTACGACCTTTCGCTGTACAAGTTACAAAAATTTACAGTCGGAGACATAGTGATGGCTCGCAATATTGATTGAAAAGAACAAACGTTATTCAGATGTCGATCGCTGAACTGCTAACATCTAACTGGCGATCACTCAATGCTAATCGTCGATATCGATTAGGAAGAAAGAAGCGGAAACTTGCTGAGACACTTTGTGCTGATAATTCTATATTATACCAGGAATATAATTTTTAATAAAGCTAATAATAACAGATTAATTTTTTTTCATGATATTATTATTTTTATCATTATGTGGTAAGAGGTTTTACGTGATAGACATTTTAATTCGAACTATCCGAACTCTTAAAGTGATCTTTCGGTTTAAACAATGTCCATCATAGTAATGATAGTAATAATAGTCTAAGGGTTACAGTCATATAATTCCCATTTGAATTAATATTTCATTAAATTTTTTTGCGAAAATCTGATGAATCACAATGGCAATTTTATGGAGTCAGCTGATTGACTGATTACAGATGGACCAATATTGTTGACAAACATGTTTGATTGTTTTATTAAAGCCTCTGATAATTGAGTTGATTCTAGATTTCTGTCTTACCAGGTACAAGCTCACTTCAAGGCCTAAAAGTATTAGGTTCGATCCCTACAGATTAATTCAGAAGTTCAATACTAGCACGAAATAGTTGTCCAATAATTTCTCGTTTTCTGTGGTTTTCTAAATGTAGTCAATCTGTGGTTCAAACAATGGGATCTAATTTGTAATTAAGTAATATGGTCATCAGATTATCTCATCTTATTTAACACTAATGTTTCTAGAAAATTCACACTGATTAGGATAATGTGCAAATTCTAAATTTTTTTCAATAAAGACCAACAATTTTATGATCTCTTCCTTTTGCTACCTCAATACCCACTTCCTTCAGGTTACATACCATCATAAGGCCATTTGCCATCTGTTCCAGGTGCAGCTTCTTTAAAAAATTCATTACACTCCTTATCTGTAAAACAGTCACCGACAGTTAACAGCATTGTTTTCATTGGTTCTGTATCCACGACACCAGATTCATTTTTATCAAAGAACTAATAAAATATTAGTAAAAAAATTCAAAAAATGGTAAAGTAAATGAAAATGTTATGTATCCAAGTGGAGTAAGTTCAATAAAATCACGTTTTACTGTATATAGTACTTACTATCAGTAAGTACTATTCCTGGATTGTCATTTTCAATGGTCTATTTCAACGTTGATGTTAATCTAAAAAAATGTTAGCTAGACAGTGCTATAAGTCTATTCAGTCCTGGTTAGGGGCTTTTTAAAGGTGCACTTCCACAAAGTTCATATTATACTTTGTGATAACAAAAAGAATTCTTTTTAATAATTTTAAACATTCTGAATACCTAATTTAAAAAAATATTTCTATTGTGTATTTAATGTGAAAAAGTATAAAAGACGTTTATTTTGATGGAGTTTTGTTCTCTGAGCTGAATGGTTTGGTCGTGGGAATTTCATCGTTCTTCTGAATGACATCATCAGCACAAACTTCAGATAGAAGTCTGTAGAACTTTGCACTGATGATGTCGTTCAGAAGAACGGTGAAATTCCCACGACCAAACCATTCAGCTCAGAGAACAAAACTCCATCATAATCATCCACATGAGCTATAAATCTTCTCCATTATCTCAAGACGTTTGCTTTAAAATTTCATGAGAAAATTCGAAAGTGGTTTTCTTAATTAATTACTTTCATTGATCCTACTTTTTCAAACTACAATTTAAAATACTAGAAAATATAAATGAGTTATTCCAAGCACATTTTAATATTTAGACTTATAATGTAGTGAACGAGAACATAAGTGGGGACAATCGAATGTATCTGAGCTCAAAATTACAGAACATCTTCATAAATTCTGAGAACTATACAGTAAATACTTCGTTTGCAAATTGTCAATCAATCGTCTCAAACTTGACTGTTACTCTTGTAAATATCAATCAGTCGTCTCAGACTTCACTGTCCCTTTGTTTCCACAGCAATCATTCATTGTTCCCATCCTCTTTACGTCGATCTTCTTAACCTTCTGCTATCAGATATTTCATATTCAATCGATAATAAATATTACTTATATCTATCGACATCAGTAGCACATACCGTAATAACTAACATAATTCTATTTTATACAATATACAACCTCATAATAGATTACAATTTAAACGTTTTAATACATAAATCACTGTCATCTTGATACAAGACTAATTAACAGATCTATAGTGTATTAACGTGTAACTCATAACAATTATTGAGTACAAAGTAGTTACACAATTAGAACAATACACAAAAACAACTGTTCGATAAATCTATATTACGAATGTACACAAAACTATTGAAATTTCCCATTTTCCCTTTTTATTTCACGTCTTCCTATTAAATATTACTTCGATTTGTAATAATTATCATTAACTGACATTGGATAGTAATTATCACACATAATCAGGAACTAGCCCGATTTATCTAGAGACTAATCATAATGAAACCTGATTGTTGGTGTCGTTGTTTTTTCATAATTTTTGATGATAACTCACCAGAAATGCATTATTCAATTGATTCAATCTTTCTTCTCTTGTATAGGAATATGTTTGAATTATTTCAGTAAATTGATCCAAATCTATAGCGATACTCTCTATAAATTGAAAAAGGAAGTATGAATGTTACAAATGCCATGATGAAAATCCACTCACTATTTAAGTTGACAAAGGATGATTATTAATTCTATCAAAATATGTCAAATACAAGTTTAAAAAAACAATGATCTGTCTAAGGAACGATCCTTGGTGAGACTATGATTCATAGACGATCTTTGAGCAACGCCGAAATGACCTTGGAATGTCCACCTACTTACTAGAATTAAATAATGGTTATGGATTAGTGTAAAGAATTAGGATTAGCATTTACAGTTGAACGTTAGGATTAGGAATTAGATTTGATGTTTTCATTACGAAATGACATCAGTTACAATACCAAAATGATATTTAACCAAATGAATGAATGAATTTTGCTCTAAAATTCAAGACCTACTAACTTAAATATAATTGCTTCGTCCATAAATTATAATCTCACCCTGTTTCATGTTCGGACATAGCTTCAGATCATCACCTAGTTGTGGCCAAATTGAAACTGAAGCTAAAGAAGAACTGGACAACTGGACAAACAGCACCACAAAGGTTCAATACAGCCTTCCTTCGAGATACTGACAAACTCAATGAATTCAAGGTAGCTCTCAACAACAGGTTCCAAGCCTTACAGGATCTACTGAACGAAGAAGAAACTACTATGGAGGATAGCTGGAAAGGTATCAAAGAAACATTAACTTCAACGTGTCAAGAGGTTCTGGGCCCCAAGAAGTATCATCACAAGGAATGAATCTCTACAGAAACACTGGACAGGATCAAAGAAAGAAAGAACAAGAAGACAGCAATTAACAACAGTCGAACAAGAGCAGAGAAAGTCCAAGCACAAGCAGAGTACATAGAAGCAAACAAGAAAGTGAAGAAGAGCATTAGAGCTGATAAGCAAAAATACGTGGAAGAACTAGCAACGACGGCGGAAAAAGTTGCAAGAGAAGGAAATATGAGACAGCTTTACGATACGACGAAGAAGCTTGCAGGGAAATACAGTAAACCAGAGAGACCAGTCAAAGACAAAGAAGGAAGACCAATCACTGAGATTCAACAACAGCGCAACAGATGGGCAGAGTACTTCGAGGAACTCCTGAACAGACCGGCTCCAATGAATCCACCGGACATCGAAGCAGCACACACAGATCTTCCTATAAATGTCAATCCACCAACGACAGAAGAAATCAGAATGGCCGTCAGACAAAGAAAGAGCGGGAAAGCAGCAGGACCTGACAATATACCAGCTGAAGCGTTGAAGTCAGACATCGAAGTAACTACAAGCATACTTCATCTTCTATTCAAGAAGATTTGGGAGGAGGAACAAGTGCCGATGGATTGGAAAGAAGGACACCTCATCAAGATTCCAAAGAAAGGAGATCTGAGCAAGTGTGAAAACTACAGAAGCATTACACTACTGTCAATACCGGGTAAAGTCTTCAACAGAGTGTTACCGAACAGGATGAAAGACGCAGTTGACGCTCAACTTCGAGATCAACAAGCTGGATTCCGTAAGGACCGGTCGTGCACAGACCAAATTGCGACACTACGGATCATCGTCGAACAATCAATTGAGTGGAACTCGTCACTCTACATCAACTTCATTGATTATGAGAAGGTATTTGACAGTGTAGATAGGAGAACGTTATGGAAACTTCTTCGACACTACGGAGTTCCTGAGAAGATTATCAACATTATCCGGAACTCATACGACGGACTACGGTGCAAAGTAGTGCATGGAGGACAGCTGACAGACGCATTCCAAGCAAGGACCGGAGTAAGACAAGGCTGTCTACTCTCTCCCTTCCTCTTTCTTCTGGTGGTCGACTGGATTATGAAGACCTCGACATCTGAGAGAAACCACGGCATACGATGGACAGCTCAGAACCAATTAGACCATTTGGACTTCGCAGATGACCTAGCCCTCCTATCACATACACACGAACAAATGCAGATAAAGACAGCCAGCATAGCAGCAGTCTCTGCATCAGTAGGCCTCAACATACACAAAGGGAAAACCAAGGTCCTCAAACACAACACGGAGAACAGCAATCCAATCACTCTTGATGGCGAAACTCTGGAAGACGTGGAATCCTTCCCATACCTGGGAAGCATGGTCGACAAACAGGGAGGTTCAGATGCAGACGTCAAGGCGAGGATTGGCAAAGCTAGAGCGGCATTCCTTCAACTGAAGAACATATGGAACTCAAAACAACTTTCGACCAATATCAAAGTCAGAATCTTCAATACGAACGTCAAGGCAGTTCTACTGTACAGAGCTGAAACGTGGAGAACTACAACAAACACCATCAAGAATGTACAAGTATTTATCAATAGCTGTCTACGCAAGATACTCAACATCCATTGGCCGGATACCATCAGCAACAGCCTTTTATGGGAGAGAACCACCAGCTTCCAGCTGAAGAGGAAATTAGGAAAAGACGATGGAAATGGATAGGACATACATTGAGGAAATCATCAAACTGCATTACGAGACAAGCGCTAACTTGGAATCCTGAAGGGAAGCGGAAAAGAGGAAGGCCAAAGAACACATTACGTCGGGAAATAGAAGCAGATATGAAAAAGATGAATAAGAACTGGAAAGAGCTTGAAAGGATTGCCCAGGACAGGGTTGGATGGAGAATGCTGGTGAGCGGCCTATGCTCCTTCACGAGGAGTAACAGGCGTAAGTTAAGTAAAGTTCCTGTTTCATGTTAACAGCAGTTAATCGACATCCAAAATGAGAACTAAGAGTACACAAATATGGAACCTGTTACTATCAAACAGAGATTCAAGGAATGTAGAAAAACTGAGAATAACTGTTACAAGGTCTGGGGGAAAGTAATTATAATGATAAATGCAAGAAATTTTATTAGTTTACGTAAATACTTTACTCTATGACACAAATAAATATGAGTTATACGATATGTTCATAAATAATTATAAATAGAACTGTTTACTCAACATTAACAAGTAATATAAAGCAATACTTAAAAAACTATTTGAATGAGAAAAGAACAAGGACAGAGTATGAAAACTGACTTAACACTTATGATAAACACTGTCTGTGATTCAAATAAGTGCAATGAGGAAATAGTTATGATTTAATTAAACTAATAGTAATGTGTTGGTTGGTCGAAGTCAGTTTGGAAGAGGCATGGATCAAAGTTTCATACTAGCTGCCACCGGTCACTAACGAGTATCTGCAGTCCCCAGGGAACTGATGCCTCAGGTAAGATTAAAGTCTAAATTGCCCAGTGTTACAGCTTGAGACGTTAACAGTGAGATACTTGGGTTGAGACTGAGTTTACATCAGCAATAAAGAGTAGATAAATATGATACTGATTGCTACTCATCAAACACTATAAATACAACAATCCTATAAATCAGCACGGAACTAATAACCCTGGGGAAATGTCTTAGACTGTGAAACTGAAGAACCTGAATAGGAATCCCAATGAAAAATTCAATCCATTGATAACTGAGGATGTATCTTGTTGACAAGTACTAAGTAGAACAAAAAGTAAGGCACTGTCGATTACCATTAATCACATAACACTGATCAACATTTATGATCACCCTTTGATGCTAAATTTCGAAATGATAGGTCATTTTTTCAGTTCAGGTATATGCTATTGGTGTTACTGAATTTTTTTTACAGCAGATGCATTAACCACAAAGTTCTCATTGTCACTATAAACAACATTATCCAAGTTGATTTCAATTAGAAATTGAATTTTCATGGTTTTCACAAATTTTAATTCAGTTTACCTTGAGATGCTTGTTATTGCTTGTCATTAACGGCGTTGTTTTTATGGACATAGACAGTGTGTTGAGTTCATCTCCAAAAAATTAATTGAATGATTTCTGATTCATTTAGTTAAAAAATTGATTCTATATTGGCATACTTTTCAATAGCTTTGTATGATATAAATGTTATCTTTGTAGCGGTCAGTAAAACTTTAGTTTAAAAACTATCCATCAAACGTGTTCCAGTTTTCTTAATCATTTAATACTCCGAGTAAGTCCTGATAGATCACATTCTGTTGCTAGGCCATATCGTATTTTAGAGATCCAATTTTGGGCTAGCTTACCTAAAGTGAGCAGTTTATTCACCTGACGAAGGTTACCACTTCATATCTTGGTCTAGATTAATCCAGTAACTTATATACATATTCATCCTAACTTTGGCAATCTAGCTTCCTATATCCTTTTAGTCTTTTCCTCTGGCTAAACGAGTGTTTGAGAAGTGTATACAGGTAAATGAATCGGACGGGAAAATATAAAATTATTCTACAGAAACGATGTCTATTTATATTCAATAAAACTGTCTTCTCACTAAGCTGGTAACTCTGGAAATCTCATGACTTTGATGTTCACTTAAATACGTATCCGGAATTCAACTTTTACTTAACGTTTTATGCATAATAGACAGACCAACAATTTGTTATAAACTATAGTTCAATGTTTCAGTTAATGAATTTTTGTCATATTGAATATTTATTATGGTTAATCATTAACTATACAACTGAAAATGAATGCGTAATTTGGTGGAAGATTAGACAGATTTTAAATTAACCAACTTCTCATCTAGTTGTTTAATTCTACTTATTCATATGAAATAGATCTTCCATAATATGGTTTTCATTTTAGATGTATCAAATCAAACTACATAACTCACACAGCACCACGGTCATACACAGTATGTTAGCTATAATTGCGATCAAGCTATCATAGATAAGTGGAACAATTGTTCAGCCAAGGCCTATCGATTACATGTTTCTGTTCAAGTTAGTCTGATTGATTTTGTTCTGTGTTTGAATGTTCTGCTTTATAATTAGACTGCGTTTTCTCCCTCCGTCTATTTTAGACTTTACAAACACTAAGTATTCTCTTAGTAGGTGAATCAGACCATCGACTATGAAACCTACAGTTAAGGGTTTATTATTACATATTGTCAGTTTGATTGGACTTATCCGTTATAACATGTTTGGTATGTGATGTAGAATTGTGGCGACAACTTTTTACAGATATATCAGAAAATATTTTCTGTGTTTAGTTTTCTTCACTGTGCACTAAATTGTGGCGTCACATACCTGGACATAACAACTATTCACTGCTACCTGATCTTCAAATGTTTCACAGTCAATATTAATGCGTGACAAGAGATAACTGATGACCATCAATAAATAATAATAACATTATTATTATCTAAAACCATTTTCAACAAACATCTTGTATGCAATTTCATGTAATTTAGGAAAGATTATTGTTGATGCTGAAGACTGGTTTCTGATTACTCTTTCTGAAACATATGTGCGTCCAGTAAGGTTGGCTTTAAATAGTCATTATGTTACAAGTTTTTATAAAATAAATGAAATGTGATTATTTTCGGAATCCAGGAAGTCCTATTTGGAATACCAGAACTCGAATCTAGTGCTTTTATCATTCATACTTTTCCTCTGTTACACCTAATTAAAAAAGCTTACCTGGTCCAATCCCTTCCATATCTTCAGGTGTATAATCAGAATAGATTTTATCCAAAGTAGCTGAAGTAGGACATTGACTAAGCATTTGTAAACAACGACATATTTGATTTAAAGTGACTTTCCGACTTTTTGCCGAAGAAAGTGAATCATAAATACCTATAATTACATACAAAAGAAAATTAAGATCAACCTTGAATGGAGGAGATCTATGCCTTTGTAGCCTGTATTAAAATTACCTGATTCTGAATAGACATTGAAATCAAAGAAAAATTAAACATGATTGAATAGTTAGTTCTCTTTTGTCTCAGTTCGTGTAGCTTCCTCAACTACATACATATACAAATTTGCAAAAAGGTTCTGTGAAATTTTCAATAATTATTGAAGCTATGTGGTCAAGGCTGAAAGAGGCTTTGCGACGTTATCATAACTCCAGAGGCTGACTGTTCTGTAGCCATATGGATGATTTCCTCTACTACATGTATTACGATTTTAGAACCTCTGAACCTCTTTCTAACCTTGATAAGTTTTTGAACCATGTATAAGAAGTGTATCCACTTTATTTTTTGGTTTTTGTATAATATATTTTTACTCTATTCTTACTGTTTGTTGATTGGCTAACATTTATCAAGGTCACTTAAGATTCGTTCCAAGGTCGTCCATAAATTATAGTCTCGCCGAAAGTAAAATAAGTGATCACAATTACACTTTATTATTCAAACTCGTAAATTATATGATTATAGGCATATAATATAAGGTCATAATACAACACCATTGATATATCCTTATAGATACGCATAACTAGACCATTTCTGATACGAAGCGGATCAACTGTTTTTGGTTAGTTGGCTTATAATTTACGAGTGGCGGAAGATAACATCAGTAATTATTGGGTCAAAAGAAAGCCTACAAATAGACCTACATATAAGAATATCATTAAACATCATTATTAAGTTCGACAACCATTATTATTACCATTATTATTATGATTATTATTATTATCATTATTAAATTATGTACCAAAAGCTGTTGTTTATAATCTAACCACATAGCTTCACATAGTTCATAGACATTCACACTTACAAAATGACATTAGCTGATAAACTGTTCCTAGTTTGAGACTAAAGATCAGTGCTTACTCACATCTCTTTATGCAGTCAAACTCAGAATATTTCAAACCAACTGTGAGCATAATACTTTTAGATCATTTAGTCAGAATTCAAGTAAATAAATTTTCAACTGCAACGAATTCAAAAAATACAACAATATTCAATCAACATCGATTACAGTGACTGTCTCACTCTAAACATGGTTAAAAACCAATAGTCACGAAATTCTGATTAAAACTTTGTGAACCGATTGCAAAGCACAATAATCAGTAGATCCGAACTAATGTGAAACACTTGAACAATCTCCTCGTTTCTTCGGCGTTTCTCAAGATCACAAATCTCTATTTGGATAAATTTTCTGATGAAAATTTATTTTGTCTCCTTCTAATTTCAGAAAACGGATTTGACTGAATAAGTAATTTGACATATTCACAGGTAAATTGCAATGTAGTATTTACCTATTAAAATGAGATTCATGTGTGTGAAATTTTAGACCGGAATAATTAGAACACCTTTTAGAAGTGATCTGAGACAAGCTTTTTTGTTATCTAAGTAGATCAGAAACTAGTATGTTAATGGGTGATATTTGTCGCTCAGTTGCAGTATAATTTAAAACCATTGAATAGTGGACACCTGTTCTATGGTAGTAGCGGACCCCTTGGCAGTCAGTGGAATCCCACTACCCTAACAGGGATCAAGCCCAGAACCCTTTAATTTTGATGAGAAAACAACGAAACTATTCCAAATAACTCAACCAGTAAATAAACAATACCACATTCTAAAGATTTTGTGGAATATAAGTGTTTTACTGTCCAGCTCTAAATGAATTTTCATTAGTCACATACTTTTAATAACACTTTCTTTTAGAATTTGGCTATCTTGTCTGCTAACTGGTTGTGCTGTTTCGTCCTTTGTTTCTTTCTCATCTGAAGGATCCATCTGAAAATTTAAAGAGTAAGTAAAAAATTTGATAACACAAATAGTGATATGAACCATTGAATATCAACTCATCAAAAGACGTGGAAGTCCTCATTTCGATTCCCTGATAGACGATGAATGTGAGCCGCTATGGATTCTTCTATTGGTGAAGTCAATAGCGCTCAGCACAGAGGAGTTCCATGTTAGGATGAAGGAACTCTCTATTGTTCTCCGATTTACAATAGAATCTCAACTAAGATCAATCTTCAACGAATATCACTCATAATTATCATGAATTATTTAGATTTTGATTCAATCCATAATAATGCAATATTCTATTTAAATAATATGGATATCAAAATTTGACTATTTTCGAATTTACCTAATATAAACCAGTTAATTCTTTTTTTCGAATTCCTCTACTTTTATTCTACTTTCATATAACCAAGTTCTTGTTGGATTATATATATGGATAATGTTGTCATAGAACAATAAGCTTTAGTATTCAATAAATTGTTCATTATCCAATTAAGCGAATTAACCAGTTTTTTTAAACAACTCAGGTAGTATTGAACGAGCTTTTCTACATTATTTTACCCAAATATATTTTAACGATAATAAAATTATCAGAAGGGGTTTTTGTGGATATTATAGTAATTTCAATGGTTGAGATTATGAGTCAACTGAACCTAGACCACAACTGAAAACCTGGAAGCATTGGACGGCCGTTTCGTCCCATTGTGAGGCTCCTCATCAGTGAACATCCACGATAATTATATATTTTTTCAGTTAAAATAAAATCAACTAACTGTTTACTTATCATTACAAAATCTCCTTCTGGAGCCTCTCTGAGGTTACTGCCACTCCCAAGCCCAGATAAAGAAGGAGGGTCGGAACTAGGGTCAGCGACCCCATCCCGTACAAAAATAACTCACTAACCAGAAAAAACTCTATCGACCAATTAAAAGTACTGAATAAATTGTCCTATTTCCTCTACCAATAAATCATCTAAACAAATATAAATGATATACTTACTTTCATTTGAAATATTTACCAAAATTATTCCTGTTAAATATCATAAAATGATATAAGAATAATAAATAACAAATTAATAACACATTCTAAAATATCTACATACCAAAATCAAATATTTTAATTTAAATCCGTTCTTTTCTATTCATGACCTAGTCATTTTAACAATGATTGGTTAGTTAGTTAGTTAATTAGTTAGTTACTTAGTACAATATTGAACAGTAGAGATTTCTTTTCACTCTAAGACTATTTGAGAAGTTTTATCTAACTAGAGGAAATGAGATTAATCTAGTGACGAATAGATAAAAAGATATGTGCTAAAAATAAGTACAAATATAGAATAGTTTTTTTTATCCGGTTGTCAAGGTATTCAAGATATATTCAATTACATACACTCAAACAAACACACTTGGGCATATATAACACAAAAAGCCAGTTACTATAGTTACATAGAAAAAGAAAAAGAAAACATATGTATACTTACCTGTGTTGTTTCGATCATGAAAATTGTTGTTCAAATTGTTTATAATTTGAAATTGTGAAACAATAATAATAATAATAATAATAATAATAATAATAATAATCCTTTAATAATACAATAACTTCTCCCATTTACTGATTTCTATTTTATTTATTTAAAGTACCTTTTTATGTATGATTAAGTCTTAAGTTAATGAAATTTATTTTCAATTGGTTAATGATTAATAGCCAATGATTGAAAACAGTATGAATTATTTTATTACAGTCTTAAGTACTTTTCTTTTAAAAATGATTATTACATAATAAAGTACTAATCCGTTATTTATTTTAATAAAAGTACACTTTGATAAAAACTTAATCAAATAATAAGTATCCATATTAAATACATATTGAATATATCAAGTGTTTCCTTACTATTAGTAGTTCCTTAAGTGAAAGTTAGCCTATAATATGGAAATGATTTTTGTTTATTAAATTGTAATCGATAAATCAAACTGTATCAATAAATCTTATGACTGAACAATAACTGGTGCCTTCAATGGGAAATAATGAGATATACATAACACAAGGGAGAAGGTAAAAGCAGTAGAAGAAAATTTATGAGTCAATTGAAGCTAGACCATCATAGAAAACAAGGAAGCACTGAACGGCCGTTTCGTCCTATTGTGGGGCTCCTTAGCAGTGCCCATCCACAATCCCGCCTCGCGAGATTTGAATCTAGGACCTATCAGTCTCGCTAGCGAGCGAGCGCTTAACCTCCAGACCACTGAACCGGCATCCAACGGTATTATTGTCCAACTCCAACCAATCCAGGTTCTCCAAGGTGGTCTAGCTTCAACTGACTCACAAATTCATCTACTAAATTACTATAATATCCACAAAGCCACTCTCTGACTAAAATTTATTTTTTATACAATTTTAATCAAAAGTGTCTAAACACATTGAGTTATATATCTCATTTACTTATTTGATGATTAGCTAAATTTAGTGTTGTTTTAGTGGCAGGGAACCTTAAAGCTTCTTTGTTAAACAATATATCAAAACATTGGTTGATAGGTATAAGCATACTTTGATCGTGAAGCAATCAGATGTTAGAAAGTGACTATTGGATTTTTGAATGGAATTCAAAATCAGATGATAAACAAATTATATCTTATCAAAATCTAAATGACACATAGCAACATTTCGTTAGAAAAATGCTTAAAATTGATAGACATCTTACTATAAATTATGAATGTTTGAAGTTAGCATAAAGTCACTTGAGTTTTGAAACCAAAGAACTATCGCCTTACGTACTTTTCAATACAATTGTAAACATTCCCGATTCTAACCCTATGCTTTTTTATAAATTGATTTATTCACTCATGCCACTTGAATTCTGATTGGCTAGAAATTGACTATACTTTGACAAGTTCATTTTGGAATTCCCCGAAGATCGTCAGTAATGTATATTTCCAACTGTTGATAGTCTTGAACACACTCACAAAGTACAACAAAATAGCTGTTCAGTTATAATTAGAAATTCAGTTGTTTCCCAACAGATATCAGTTCACTTCTGTCAAATATTTAAGTTCATGAAAATGATATACTAATATTTAGAACCTAGGTTATCAAACCAATCGCTGAAGAACATTCCAAATGATACTGTAAAAAATGAATACAATTAAAGTGTTAAATCAACAACTTTCAATTATGATACTTCCCATTAAAAAATTCAGTGAATACCAAGAATCCAAAATGATCCAAGTGTTTGAACCAGGCCCGTTAAACAGCCAAAGTAAAAAAAACTTAACGAAATAAGCAAATAGAATGACAACTCTGTACAGTCAGATTAAACAACACTGATCAAATCCTATAACAATCAAGTTTATCCGTAACAAGTAAAAGATAAACAACCATATAAGACGAATTAGATGTAGAAGAAAGCGAAACGTTAGCGAAAACATAGACGGCTTAAAAGAATGAGAAATATTGTAATTACAAGAAGAAAAAGAAAGAAATAATCAATGAAGTAGAAGGCAGAGATTTTAAAATGCAACATTATACACAAATTCCTGTCAGTTTATGAGCAGATAAAACACACTCAACCATTTCCTATTGTTAAATTTTACCAAAGAAAATTATTTACCACAAATTTTATTAGTAAGCTGTGCTGATTTTATGAGGGAGTCAAGTGACTGGAGTTATACTGATGACAGTTTTTTACCAGTTTCAAAACGGAGGTGTCTGTAGTAGTAATATTGGGAAAAATTATTCAGCTTAAATAGACTATTGCTAGCATCGGAATTCAGGACTCGTATTTCATTCTGTTTGAGATTTATCACCTGGATGTATCTCCGTCTACGTTGATGTTCATATCAATAGTCCAAACTCTTAATGCAATATAGGCTGACCTGCTGAATCTAAATAGTTGCTAGTTTGTTCAACGAATGTAATGTTTATGTCATTATCAAGAAGGTAATGAATCATCTCGTTGTTGATATTTTAAAGTGGATTTCGGTCACACCATAAAATTTCATCAAATATTTACTTGCATTATCAACTGGAAACTATTTTGAATACCGGTTTTCTTTAAGTCAATGATACAGTAGTGTTGAAGAATCGATAAAAGATCTAATTCAGTTATTGTTATTGATTGTAATGTTTCAAATTTACCGATATTACTAAGTTGATTCTATAAAATAAGCTCTAAACTCATTTATTTATGGCAAATTTTATTCAGTTATGAATATTAGTTTAGGGCGATTGTGAAGATTGATGAAGTTATCATACACTGACTTCGTTAACCAACCATTGGAATTCAAAAAGTATCGGACAGTTATCTTTTCTCAATAGAGGAGACTTTCTAGACTGCAACTGTGAAGAATTACAAAATTGTGACTTTTTATCTATATTTTATTCATTCTAAAATTACAATGGAAAAACTGATGAATAATTGGTTCATCTACATTATAAACTATCCACTAGGATTAATCAAAATATGTAGCAGTATGAACCAAAGTTCAAAGTAGAGAAATATTTGTTTTATTGTCCACAAGATTGAAACTTTGATCCCTAATTTATTTCCTTTCAATTATATTTGTTTACATCAACCTAGTCTAAATTCTGGACATCTACTTTTGTTATCGCCTTATCTGAATAAGGACTACATCAAGTGGAGATAGTCAGTACAAATTAGCCATAAGAAGCGAATGACATGCTAATGTTCAATAAAATTAAGAAAGAAAGAGAGAATCAGTTCTACCTTCAAATACATACAGTATTTAATGGTTTTTTCCATAAATTTGATGTAGTTCATACCATCCGATCTAGATGTCAGTTTTTAGTTAACAGTAATCTATGTTGTAGATTCAGTTTCTCCTAAAAGTGATACTGACTGTTCTAGTGACGAGCTCCAGTCGTCGATCGCTTGATAGAAGAGTAAAAAAGAAACCTAATTATATTCGAATTCGGTTTTTGAATACTATTTTTGCAAACACGATGAACAATACTACAGGGATCTTCTTGGTCAGTTAATTAGCTCATTTAAATAACATCAATTAAATTTAAACTGCATTAGTAAGTGTCAGAAACTACAAAGAGATGACTCAACTAGTCTCTTAAGTTTTCAGTAACACTCTAGTTAATGGATATTCTTGGTAAAACTTACTTTAAAATAATTTTGTTTCGTCCCTAAATTAATACATCAACTTCACTTTCTGTTATTAGTGTGTTAAAATCTATGGTAATCGATTGTGGTTAGATTATCGGTTGGGACCATTATAACTTTTAATTACGAACGGTAACAATAATTCCCAACAGTAAAACCCAGGAAGAAGGCAAGAGTGGAAAACGAAACTTGATATGTAATTCAGACAAACTTAAAGTACGACAACTTTGTATATATAGTATCCAAGCCCTAACTTGGTGCAGAAAAACTGGCCAATTAAAAGCGATTACAACCAATAGGGGAATAGCAAAGGTCATAAGAAAATATGAATCTAAAAAATGTAGTAGGGGTTTCCATCACAAGAAGTAATTAACAGTTAATCATGAAACTTAATAACTCGGATTTTTCTTAGCATAATAAATTAAAACAATGAATGACACATAAGAAACTTTTTTCCTATATGATAACACAAATGATAAAAGTGCTATTTTAAGCCAACGAAAAATAGAAATAATATTTTATTACTGTCATACTACTTGCGTTGAAATAAGTAGCTCCGTGTTCACAATCATATTCACGGTGAAATCAGTGAAATTTTCCAATAAATACAAGCCATCAATTGCTCCTCTCACATACAAATTGCAATGACTAAATAAGATAAAATCTAATTGATGTGATAGCATATTATTCAGAATTAACCTCAGTAAGGACTCTGTATTCACGTTATATGCTTCAAGACAGTCATGCCAGGGAATTTCTAAAAGTATAAAATAGCGGCTTTTCTAGAAATTAATACATTGCTCGTAAGACCTTTCTTCTATAAATTCAGTGTTTCCTGGATACTCATTGGCTAGAAGGATTCTTTGGGAGCTAATAATAT